GAGAGAGGGCCCGATAGAGGAAAGGGAGATATGAGAGATTTTGAAGAGAGGGTCTGTCAGGGATAAGGGGGAAGACAGACACACAACGGAAAAGAGGCGTTCACTTTGGCGGTGAATATCGATATGACATCAACTGAATAGACAACACTTTTAGCTAAATATTACAAAACAAAGTTTTATTTTAAATCCAATACTCTGTATAAAACATAAAACTATCCGAGAATTCAAAACCTATAAAAAATTATTACTTCAATCTTTACTTTTAAAAATTAATAGAAATTTTAATACTTAATAACCAAAAATAAAGAATAAGTTCTATTAATTTATTTATTATTGGACATTAATTTAATGTTATTATTACATAATATGTAATATATATATATATAATACAAAATTGAAAACTCATTTTAAAATTGAAACAATAATTACCAAATGGCTGCCAAAATTAATATCAAATTAAAGTTAAAAATATTTAGAATTAAAACTAATAAACTTAATAAAAATAATGTTTTTGTTAGATATAAGATGTTTGGTTTGAAACAAATCCAATGGATTTTAATCTTTGTTTAAATTGGAAACAAAAAACTCGCTATCATTAAGATATACGACTTTTTAAGTGAAACTAACTTTTGAATACAATGTTTGGCACAAAATGACATCAAAAATAGTGTTTGACTTAATGTTTAGTGCACTTCGTTAGAGATAAGAATATATGGCTTTAACTATAGAAATGGTTTGAATAGTGAATTACTGGGAACGACATTAATATCGGAGCCCTAAAGCAATTGTTTAGACAAGCCTTGGAAGTGGTTCAGAGCTATAAACAAATCTATGGTCTCATAGCTAAAAGACCACAAAGAAGTGGTAACAGTGTTGTCATGAATGCTATTTACATATTGAACACTTGGTATAACTATAAAGACAGCCATCGGTCTACTCATCACTATTACACTACAACACATGTTTTATTAGACGATTGGCAGATATTTATTATAAAAGTTAATCGTTGGCCTAACCATTCATAGCATTGTGAACACTAAATCTCATTAATAATAATAAGAGTCAATACAAGTGTGTATTGCTATCACTGCTAAAGTTATATCATATTATAATATGCAAAGAATTGACACTATAGTCACTATATAGCAGTAAACTGTGTTTAGTTATTATTGGCGCTCATATACATCATAAACTCACTACAATAACATACCCATCCATACAAACATTCACACATTCATCTCAACACTGAATATATCGACAATACCTTCAAACGCTGAGTTGCCAACTGCTCTCATATTGTCACATATGATGATACCGATGCCTACTATATACTACTGTATGTTATATGCAAATTGGCCACAATATTATATCAATATAATATAAATATAATAGTAATAAATAACAATTAAAACAATTGATACTATTATTGTTTGCACAGTTGGATTATATTTTTAATTAAATGATTTAAAACTACAGTATTATTTAATTGATTGATTCACATTAAAACAAATAATCTATACAAACATTATTATCAAATTAAAATTATTATTATTATTTAAAAAATTCACAAAATTATAAAAATCACATATTAAAAATTATATTTTTAAGTTAATTACCGAATGACATAAAATTATAAAACTAATACACTATATAGCAATTTTTAAAAATTAAATAATTTAGTTTTTTTTAAATATAAAAATATCACTTAAATAATGAAGTTCTCGTCTACTTTAAGACAGAAATGAAAATGAATATGAAGTGACTTTTGCCATCCAAACAGATCCTACTCTCAAAGTCATTACCAGAAAGACAAAGTTTTCTCAATTTTAAAGTCATTCAAAAGCCATTACTAACAGTGACGGCAATAGACAAACACAACTCATTAGCATTGCTTAATAAAATCTCTACTTTGAAACAATGATTATATTGAAAATAAATATAAAATTTTTGAATATTTAGCAGTTTATATATCAAACAAATTCAAATATCTGGTCGTATTATTTGTTTTTGAAATATATTTTCACTGTTTTCAAACACACATCATCTTTGGTTATATGTTGAAAAGTTGACAAAAATAGTATTATTAATAACACTCATAAAATAAATTAGACATTTGTTTACAAAACAATAATATATATATATAAACATTTATTTTGTTAAATATTTTAGTTTAGTTTAGTAACGTTTTAAAAACTTTTTAACTAAATAAAACATTTTAAAGTGAACAGCCAGACTAAATGGGAACGGTTTGTTCAACAACGGTGTGCTTACACATACACACAGTCAGACAAGAGAGTATGGGAGCAAATGTGGCACTTTTCTGGCTGTCGACCAGCCCAGGCATCCCTTACCATCGCTGGCAGGCCCTGTGCACCGAAAATCATTAATCATGTCTAAATCCATTGCACTTTTATATATATACGAGTGTCCGCTGTTTTTACTGTTATGCAAAACATTCATTAATCTTTACACACATTTCTATGAATCTCACATTACATATATTACACCTGAATATAACACACACTATGTTTTGCTTGAAATACTAAATCACAACTATTTCTACACATGTTGTTCACTAAATATTCATATAATTTATATATATTTTTATATAATGCTTATTTATTTATTTTATTGTAATTTTTTTAACTTGGTATAATAATATGCAATATATCTGTACATAATGATATTGTAATAATTTATTATTTTATTAAAACTTTATAACAATTAATATATTATTTTATGTAAATTGTTTTGTAAAATATATTATTGTACAAAGTTGAATGTTAAACAAAATAATTTTATGTCTAAAAAGTGAAATATTTACAAATTAGATAGTTTGTACATAATTAACCCACAATAATTATGTAATTATTAATTTTAGGATAATCTTAACAAATATTGATATTAATTTTATATCAATGTTTGTTTTTGACACTGTTATTATTATTTTTAGTTTAAAAAAGTATTGTAAAAACTCTTTTTACTTTAATTTTAATATTTAATTTACATAATTAAATAAACAAACTAATAAAAACTTTAAATTGCTTTTAAATGGTAGAAATATATTAGTAATACATATTAATATAGGAAAAGTTTAACCATCCATTTATGTCAACTTAAACTGTTGGATTGGTATCCGGGTTAGGGCTGACGGCGTCAATACAATGGCCATATAGTGTATAGTATACATTGTATACATATAACTTATGCACAAAAAATAATTTAATTTATAATATAATATCAGTAAAAAAGTAAAACTAACATTAATTATTTGCTTTATATGATAAGTAATTATATAAAAATATATTACTTATTTTATCATACTGTTTTAATTAAATATAACATTTTTATGCATTAGGTTATGTGAAAATATTAATTTATTAAAAATAAAAATAGTTTTAAAAAATTATAATTTGATAAAATTATAATTATAAAAAATTCATCTGTAATTATTAAGTTATAGAATAATTATAATTTTTACATAATAATTTTGTTAAATAATATGTTATTTACTTGATAATGTATCTGTAATATATTTTATTTTTATTAGAGTATAAAATTTATTGTTTATATATGACATAATAATATTGTCAAACATAATAAAAATATTTGCAATAATAAGCGTGTTTAAAAATTTAGACAATTAATCATCTGCTAAATGCCAGCTATTAATAAAATAAATAGTTAATCACAATGATCAGGTATATATATATATATATATTATTTATATGGTCCGCAATGCATACAGTAAAGTTATATTCTTAACATTTATGTATGTATTTGATATAAAAATTATTTGACAGGTTATTACATTTTGAGATCAATAAATAAAGTTAAGTTTTTTGATGACTTATTTAAGTGTGAAAAACATTTGGAAATGTTTTGGAAAAATATTCGAGAAATGAATAACACAACTGTCCAACAGTGATGACTGACCGCTATGGCACTTGTAGTGTACATTGCGAGTCCCTGTCCACTGTATGTCAATAGTGACCAATGAATTAAAATAGTGTAGAATAAGACAGAAAGTAAGTAAGTATTTATTGAGAAATAGTGTATACTCTGACTGTTTCTATTATATTAGGTAAATGTCTTAATGGCTCCCTTTAGCCTCATGTCTCATATGATTGATGACACTAGCGGTGGCCAAAAGCAAGGCCAGTGATATGTTCACACACAGGCCTACGGGCACCCATCCAACTCAGGCAAACAGTTGCACCCCTTTCCATATGGATGTAATCGATATGATGCATAGTATTAAATATATGTATATATTTATAATATGAATCCATGAGAAGTATTGCTTACTAATTACTTGTGACTAAAGGCATTAGATTTGTATTAATTTTGGACACAACTCTTAATAAGAATACATTAAATCTAATTATTAGTCAGCTATAGCTGATCCGAGATGTGAACACTACCATCACATGCAGTTTCAGTAACAACAAAAAAAAGTATATATAACTCAATGTTGAGATAAAAACTAAAGATATATTAAGTGAAGAAATGTTTTGTTGGGATGTATTGGATGTGTTTGATCTGTAGCTGTAAGAGAGATAATATAGTATTGTATGTGTTATTGTTGAACAACAAAAGCATAGATTGTGAGCCAAAACACGGTTTGGTTTGCATTGCTTTTGATGGTTGAGTTGATGGGAAAAGAAGGAGGTGGAGAGGAAATGCGGGAGGAGATATGCGCATGGATGCTGAGAGACTAACTACCAGTGCTTACTGTGCCATACAATGCTTGGGCATATATACAGCTATTGACAATAACATCTACTCATATGTTTTACTCTTAACTCAATTCCTACTCTAATATATACTTGTTTTCTCTGTTTTCTGGCAAAGCCTACACTCAATACTACAGTGAACAGCACTCTCAGCTCACACATACACACATACACTGGCCTACCAGCCCTACGAGGCCTGTTCGACAAACACATACACACAACATAGTATACACACTGACAGCACACTATCCCTAATTCATGTGTCGATGAGAAGCCGGTAGTATTGGAGGCTAAGAGCTTGAGAGAGCCTGAGAGCTGTGCCTCTTCTCTATAGTCAATTCCCTTGTCTGCACTGGTATTGAATTTGTCGGATCCTATTCTATTGGTTTAGACATACATCACGTGGTGATGCAAATAATGGTCACATTTGGGTATCAATTCAGTTATGCATTGCAATCGAGAAGTTGTGTCAATACGTGAATATTTGTGTAAAATGTTATTAATGTTTGTGTTTGTGGTACGTCTTTGAAATACTGATGGATCAGTTGGTCGATCACGAGAATGGCTTTATCGGTGAGCCGTCTATCGAGTGCATGGCTGAGTTTATGACAAGTGTGCCAACTTTGCCAACACTGCCTCATATGAATGACTCTTTCCAAACGGCATCATCAATCACCGCCGGCACTGGCACTGGCCCTACAGTCATGTCACGAGCAGCAGCAGTACAGCACCAACTCAACCAACTAAGCAGCTGTACTTCAGGTACAAACGAAACTGGTGCTGATTGTACTGTTAGCAACAATATCGGTACTGATATCGGACAACACTCTCTATTGGTGTCGTCCACATCACAGGAGTCACCGAAAAGTAACGAATATCCGTGGATGAAGGAAAAAAAGACAACAAGAAAACAACACAATTCAGGTAATGATTTCAATATATCAATATATTTATACATTTTTATGCCATCACTTCTAGTCATTTATCAAACAAACTCTCAGTCCTCATCCCATCACTTACTACTAAACACATAACTTGTGTGATGTATGTGTTTTGCTTTACATATATCTAATGGGATAACTATTTATATGTTTATATATCATATATAATGTGTTTATAGTTTATTTGCATCACTTTTTCTAATTTATTATTTTTAAGCAAACACTTTATAAATCGTTTGTAAAGTATATCAAAACAAATGTTATGCTAAATGTGTTGTTTAAAGATGTGTTTTTAAATGTACCGCAAAAGACATACAGATTTATAAATGAATAAATTAAATGACTTTTTGTCGGTCCATATATTCATATAACACACGCAATGCTCTCTCTCTCTCTCTCTCTCTCTCTCTCTCTCTCTCTCTCTCTCTCTCTCTCAATGTTCATTCATCACTCTCCTGTCATCTCTATAGTCCTAAACGACTCTTTCCCTATCCCTCTCACTGTTCCTCAATTGCTCTCTCAATGATTCATTTTTACTCTTAAACTTTGTGGTAAATCCTCAATTGATTCCCCCCTTTAAAGCAAACAATTTACGATTGCTTTACCTGCCGTTTAACTAACAGCTCACCAAATTGTCGATAATCTGCTTAACATTGAATTTCTAAATTTAAGTAATAGATATCTACCGTTGCAATTATATCCCACTTTTTGATACCGACTTTTCAGTGTTCACATGTCATTAGCGACCAATTTTGAAGCAATTCTTTGTTTTGTATGAAAACCGATTGATTCTATTGATTCCAAGTATAAGACAAAAGTTTGATTTTAATCTTAATCCTTAAATCCCCAATTGAATTGTCTTAAAGTCAATGACAGCCATTGTATGGAAACCGCTATTACTGTCAACAACTTGAGTAAAACTTTTGTTAAGTTAGTTCACATAATTTGACATTTTTATTATATCGTGTCTTCATATATGTATAACAAAGTACTGTATATTGAATTCAATAAAAAGTCATGTGATTTGCAGTTAACATATTTGATAAGTTTATTGATAAGTAATGAATGATATATAGTATATATTATATACTGTTCATAGAGAGAGGCAAACAGTGGCCACAAAGTCGCCATTTGAGAGAAGTGGTCACAAATGTGTTGCCATCAGAGGATCCGTTTGTAACACAAATATATAATTCAGTTTTTGTGGCAACCAATCAAAGTTTGTTGAATTTTTGAGATAAACAATAATTTTCTTGTGTGTACTTATTGTGAATATAGGATAGAGTAGTGAATTAAAAGTTAGCATTTGATTGCATGAATGCCTTCAATGGACCCAAGGCTACCTCAGTCCCACCAAACCATATGTATTGTATATATCAATCTCTTTCTCAATGTGTCTATAATGTGTGTCTTTGCTATTTTTCTCAGCAAATTATAGACTTACAGTATAAATATAACCCTAACATTTCTTCTCTATCTTATGTGAAACAAAATTATAATAATAATATTACTAATAAATTGCAAACTGAAAGACCTTCGCATGAGATAGCGTGCAAAATGACAATGGACAGGGCTATAGGGACTGGTATATCTGCCAAAGAGGGACATTCATGCATACATACTGGGGATATGCAATAGTAGGGGTACACAAGTCAACCAACAATCATAGCTTTAGTTTTACAGTACTTAACAATACCTCACTATTTTGGAGTCACTCAACATTTGATATTTTTCCACAATAAGGATATTCATGTGTTTTTCTATACTATAATACCGTATTATTTTAACATTTGAATTGCTTTTTTACAAAAATACAAACTATAGATTAAAAGCTGAAACAAAATTCCGGATATCATGAATATATTTTCTTATTCAAAACAATTTAATAATTTCATATTTTGTTGAATCTTAATCTTTTTATAATTAATAGTAATAGTATTTACTTAAATAGCTATTAAACAATATTTCTATACATGTGATACGTATATATAAATTATTGTACATTAACTACAGTATATACCATGTTTATTAAATATATATTTATATATGCAATACAATATTAAACAAACTTGTATATGATAAACAATTCATACATCGCTACTCGCTATTAACTACACTAATTGACTATCAAATTGAAAGCTATTTGTAAGCCAATTGAGAGATGATTTAGTATTTGATTTATAAAAATGTTTGGCAAATATTGTGATGAAAGAGTGAAAGGTAATAGCAATGGCCTAATTTTGGCCAATTATACAACATTATATATATATATATACCGTATATACATATGTATATATATGATGTATTTGAGCTCAGTATGAGTGTGTGGTGTTTGATGACTTTGATTGAGATGGATGGCGCACCTCTGTGTCAGACCTACACCGACACATAACTTATACGAGCGATGATTACTATAACTAACACATAAGCCCATTGAAAAAAACGTTAAATCAATCTTTTCAAGTACTTTACAATGCTATCAATGTGTGCTCTCAATCACTACCAAAACACTACTTTGCAAAAGATATCAAAAGATATTTAGTGACAATAATCGCTATATGTTTCTTAAAATGTTTAAACTCATACAACACTCATATTTTCTTCATATTATTTATATTTTTACTTATTTTTTTATTTAATTAATCAAAATACATAAAATTTTAACAATAGTTATTTTACACTATTATTTAAATATCAATATCTTAAATAAAATAGTTAATATAAATTTTTTTATATACAAACTAAAACAAACAAATGTAAACTCAGTAAAGTATACGGTTAAAGTTAATAATTACTTACTATTATTATGTATTTTAATTGTATTTTACTCATTAAATAATAATAAAGATTTGTGAATATTGACTTTTAAGATTTATTTGTATAGTAAGAAATATTTTTAATTAATTAACAGCAATAAAATTAATACATAAAAATTGTAGTTAGAATTATCTAAATGTTTAAAATATAATTAAGATTATAAAGTTAAAAACATAATTATAATATAAAAGTCATATTTATTAATGTTTTACATAAAATTGTTTGTTAGTAGATGATATCAATAAGTTTACAAAATGAATAATAAATGCAAATAGATTAAATAATTAAAATACATTATAATTAAATGTAATTTATAATTGTATTAAAAATTAGTTCAAGCTTTTATAAATAGAGTAATAATATTTATACATTTTTAACTAATTAATTTTAATTAATATTTTATAAACACGATTTATTTTGTTTTATGATTATAATAATATTATTTAAATACCTAAACTAATATAGATTTTGCAGGTTATTTGAATATAATGTATTAATAAACAAAAGTTTGTATAAATCAATGATTAATTAACATAAAGTCGTTGACAGTAAAAGAAATGTTTTGTATAAAACAAATAAAATATTAAGAATTTTATGACATTATTATTTATAATATAATTTAAGTATTGTTAATTGAATTTTTAGAGATTTAAATCAAATTTGCTTAAATCTATAAATTATGTATAAAATTTTATGCTACAAAAAAATATACAAATATATTTGAATAGAATATAGAGAAACAAAAATATAAAGTTTATATACCGTAAAGTCAAGTTATATACACGTTTACATATATGAATATATGCATACAATATATACAGTATATAAATTATATTATAGATGCAGTTTTGGTTAAATGTTTTTTTTTTGTTGTAAAATTCACATGAAATTGATATTTCATAAAGAAATGCCTTAATACTTATATTAATAGTAAATATAAGGTTTAAAAATAAAATATTTGAAATATCTTATAATATACTTAGATATCATTTATATGAAAAAAATTTACATTACATGAATCTATATAAATGAAAAATAATATGGTTTGATAAACATTTTTGATTTAAATTTATTTATTGGAAACATTTGAATACATAGCATAGAAAAACCACATGAAATATTATTAATGATAAATTATATGCTAAATATCAAGTAATTAAGATATTAAATGTGTGGTTTCGTTTAAATTCAATTGTTTCAAATGTAACTAATTATATTAATATGAATTCTCAATGAAATTAGTGTTTAAAAAAGATAAATTGAAATTTTATGCTAAAATTAGTAATAAACACTTCTTTAATTTATAAATAATAATTTGCTGTTCAAATAAAAAACCCATTAAACTAACAACTCTTAACTACTGTTTTATACTTTTTACTCGACACCAAATATAACTGAAAGATAATTTTATCAAAAAAAATAAATTTCATTTTATTTAATATTACTAATAAAATAATATTTATTTTCTGTTAAAAACTAACTAATCAATTATATATTCAATACTAAATAATAATGTTTATATGGGAATAGTGTTCTTTACTTAAATAGTTAAATTTATTTCATTATAAACATTCCAAATAATTATATTAAATATTTATATTAAATTTTCATTTGTCAAATAATTTACAATAGTATTTAATTTAATATGATATTATTTACAAGAAAAATTTTGCTGTTGATTTTTTCTGTTTACATTTTTAAAATTAAATAAATCAATATTTTAATTATTTTTTTTAATAAATAATGTATACAAAAAGTATATTTTTAAATGGGATTACTTTCTTTTATATTTTTTATAATTTAAAAAAATATTAATTATAAAGAGTTTATTATTAATTTATTTGAGGAATTTCCCTTAAATTTTGAAAAAATAGATAACGTTAGAAGATCGGTAAAAATGTTTGTTGTTTTAAAATAGTTAAAATTTTATACGAAAATGGTTTGAATATATCTACTCATTAAATACATACATTGGTTCATTTAATATTTAAAATAATTTATTTATGCACTAAAAATTTTTCAGTCCATTAAAATAACTTTAAAAATAACTAAGTTTCAGGATTTCCGTATAAAATATAATTCAGTGAATCATATAATAATTTATTTATTCAATAATCATAGATATTAACTATAAATTTACAATGTATAACATCACTTGTAACTTAACTTTTATTTTAATATATTGAGCCTTAATTAATATTATGAAAATTATTCAATATAGTTCATTTTACTTATTGATAATTGATTTAAATTTTAATACGATGTCATTATATTATCAAATTATTTGATATATTCAATAAATATTTTATTAGAAATAAATATTTTAACTTTTATACAAATAAAAAATTATTAGTAGTATTAATTCTATAATTAAAAAAATATGCAATAAATTTAATATAAAATTTCAATGCAAAAAATAAAGATATACTGCTATAAAATGTGTTTATTTTCTAAAGTATATTTATGATAATATTTGTTAGTTTATTTACAATACAACCTGTTAAATCAATTTTATAAATTGATGACATCAAGTTATTTAGATATAATACATATGACACCACTTAACCCGCAGACAATTATTATGATATATTTTATATAAAACAGTGGATATAATGTATATACAGTATATATATAGTCATAAATATTATGTGTTTCTTACGGCCAAACGCTCTGTTCATTCATCATAACTGTTATCTATTACTCTATTACTATCTCAATGTCCAAACAAATATTGTACTTTAGTTATTGTTATACGAAAAACATTTAATTTTTAATTAAAATTTATTTGCATCACTACACATATAATGTTGAATTATTTAGAAAAACATTATAATTATTTTAAGATTAATGTTAAACATTTTCAGCAAATCTATTAACAATATTAATTATTTATGATATAGCTTAGTTTAAAATTATTATACTTATTAAGTTATAACTTATAAATTTGTTATTGATTACAATGAATTATAATTTATAATAATATTGTCGAATCTAAATTATAATAATATGTTTATAATACTCTACTTTGTTAGTATATAAACAAGTAATAAAACATGACATTTGATTAATAACTAATTTATAAAAATAAGTAATTAATTTTAAACTAAATAATTCAGATAAGAGTTAAAAATAAATTAGTTATAAATAAAATTATTGTCATTATAACAGTGGGTGAGAATGGTATGCCTCGTAGACTACGGACAGCCTATACTAATACCCAACTCTTGGAACTGGAAAAGGAGTTTCATTTCAACAAATACTTGTGTCGTCCCCGAAGGATAGAAATCGCCGCTTCTCTTGAATTAACTGAACGACAGGTTAAAGTCTGGTTTCAAAATCGCCGGTAAGTTTCAGTGATATATCGTTTTAATTGTTTAATCCGCTTATAAACTATTAAGACATTAATTTCATTATAATTGCCGACAGAATGAAACACAAGCGACAATCTATTTCGGGTAAAAATGGCGACGAAAAGGGTGGCAAAAGTGGGTCATGTGGTACTAATGATGAGGACAGTATGGATATGGATGGTATTAGTGCTGAAGGAGGACACGCCAGTGGATCGGAAACGGGTCTCGATTTAGATAAGTCTGTATTAAGTCCTAATGACAGCAATCATTCTCAAAGCTCAAGAGATGAGTCGCTCTTATGTGAAAAGCCTAAGATATCAACACCGCTCTCATTGATTGATCCAAACCCATGCTGTGCTGAGTCGGCCAACAATAGGACTAATGTGACGGCATCTCCATCAGTAATGTCACCGCATTGTGAAGATATTAAAATATCGGTGACTAATGGTTCACATTTGCTTCATTCAGCGTTATCTTCCGTTAATAGTTCTCCGGCCACTCGAAACCCATTGGGCTCACCTTCCAGTACCACAATTAGCCCTAAAGGACACCAAAGTCCTAATGAACACATGGTTTGTGCTCCCATTCATGTGACTAAAGTGAGGAATTGGACTCCAGGCACAAGACAACCATTAAATACATTGAATCCAATTGATTGCCATTCAAACAAAAATATATTAAATTCTGTGGTCAATACTAGTGTTAACTCTTCGGCACATTTATCAACGCAACAATCAGCTCATGGACAGCAATTGCCAAACAGTCAAATCTATTTCAATCGGTGCCCAACAACATCTTCATCATCACAAATGTGTTCATCAACGACAACAGTTTCTTATGGTGGAAGACGACAAAGATTTCCTTCACATGTTGTGACTCAAAATAGTTTGCGCTCTTCTCCATCAAACCCATCTCTGAGTCAAACGACAAACTTTTGTTACCGAACCTCACCGTCAAATAACTTTGTCAACAATCGCACGCCAACAACACAACAGAGCACAGCTGTCTCAGCACCGGAACCATTGACGACAACTAAGTTTTTCTCGTGCGGACAAAACGGATCGTTATATAGCGCGCAACAACAACCACAGCCACAACCGCCACAACAACAGTCATCACAACTACAACAAAGAACTAATTATTTTGCTTCAGATTATGAATGTGATTACTCTGGAGCCAGAAGTGAACCGCAAACTTATCCACAGAGACAGTCATATGACAACACTTTCATAGATAGTGCACAACAACCGCAACAACAATATCTAACAAACGGAACGATAGCCTATGCAAGTAATCTAACATCTCATACAAACCATACAAACCATACCAATCATACAAATCATACCAATTATGCAAACATTGTCAGCCATACGACAGACCCCGAGTCTTACCCAAATGACAGCACAGGTAGAGCACAAAACAATACAACTGTCTATACTAATAGCGCTTACTATGAAATGGACGCCAATTCAAGTGATCACAATTCGCATCGGATTCCCAGTGAATACAATGCAATTGCTTTGAAACAACAGCCCTATCAATACCCGTCTCAATCACAACCAAACAATGTCCACAATCAGCAATATTACGATATACAGAGCGGTGCCAATGGCCTAGCAGTGGCCGTCTCACCCAACATTCCCAATACTTATGAACAAACCTATTGCAACTCAAACAGCAATAACAGCTCCGATATGACGGCCAACTCATATAATAATTATAATAATAGCAACTATTATGACGTTTATAGCAACTGTACGACAAATTTAACAAATAATAATGAGTTTAATTTTATTAACATTGCCAATGATTTCACATCACCTGAATATTATCAACTTAGTTGAATACATCACAAATGTAATGCTTTCTAAAATCAAACATTTATTTTAATTATAATTATATTTGCAGTTATTTTACTTTTTTAAAAATTAAGTAATGCATTATTATCATTATATGAATCTGAATAGTGTTATATAAAAACTTTTTATGGTAATCACACTCTAATGTAAAATATTTTTTATGTTATTTATGATCTACAAAATATTTTCAGTTACTATAATATATTTTAGTGCTAAAGTTATTATATAAACCGAATTATTGTTAATTTATACAATTGTTAGTTATAAAAATGATATCTCAATAAAATTATCAAAATGTATTGAATAAAATTATATTGTAGCAATATTATATATCTATAATGTATTACAATATATTGTCAATAGTTTCAGTGCTATATTATTGTTTGTCAAAAGCTAACAATAAAATAGGTTGTGATCTCTCTCTCTCTCTCTCTCTCTCTCTCTCTCTCTCACACACACACACACACACACACACACACACACACACACAACACACACAACTACCTATTTATTTATTTTTGATTATGACTCACCCACTCACTCACTTATTATACTTACTTTATTTTTTGTTATTGAAGTCTCTTAAGAGTTGGACATGTATTAGATTACATTGTTATTTGACTACAAATGCAGTACAGGAGTGATCCGTTCAAAACAAATGTAACCCAATTTGATGAGTAACTCCTCTTAGCTTAAAGTTGTGTCCAATTTTGTCACTTTATGTCTCACTTTTGCTTTTCCTTCAAAAACTTTTTCTAAAAGCTATTATTAGTAATGTAGTGATGAAATGGTTTTCATGCAATGAAATCATTAAATTATTTATTAACTTCTTATTTAGTTTTCAATATAAATAAAATTAATATCTGTATTTAGTTATTTATATTATGTATGTCAAATATGTTTTATACTATACTACAGTATTTAGTTTAGTTTTATGTATAGAAATTGTAAAACAATTTTATATACAAAGATTTTCAAATAATTAAAAAATATAACATTTTAAATCATGACATAATATACTTTCATTCTAAATCAATGTAAATCAATCAACATAATAAAAATCAGTTACCGTTAAGGTTTTAAGTATTACAACTAATATATATTTATATATAAAATTTCAAACTGTGATCACTTACTATTTGAACCAAAAGGCAATGTTTTCCAAACAAAATTTAATATTAAAAATCTAACAGTTTGATTTACGTCAATAATCATAATTGTAATTGCAAATAAAGCCAAACTAATTATAAAAACAAATCAATTTAATTATATATAAATTAGATGGTTTATTATTGTGCAATTTATTTAAATTATAATTATTGAATTCCGTATATTATTTATGGCAATTTTTATGGTCAACAAAATATACAAAGAAATCTGTGATTTAGTATAAATTAAAATTTGTAAATATTATTATAATATATATATATATAAATAAGTTATGACATTATACATAAATATATATATATAAAGTTACATAATATCGTATAACAAAACAGTAAATAAAGTTTGTCCATCACTTCAATCTAAATGCAATGTTGTAAATAGTAAATCAGATAATTAATATAATATGGATTTTACTTATATCATTTATTTGATAATTATATGATACATACAGTATATACTGTAGCAATTTATTGTATATTATAGTAGTATAATATATTACATAACAATTTGACAAATATCTGTATTAAAAACAAAGAATATAAATAAAAACGAGCAAAATATCTGGTAATACTAACAATTTTTAACAATAATAAAAATATTTGTAATTTAGAAATTACTATATATTTAAATATAACTTAAATGTATATATATAAATATTCTGCATATATATTATAAAAACACATAAAATATATAAATAAATAATAAATTTAATTTAAAAAACAATTTTTGTGATATTTTTTTAGTATAGTTTATTTATGTCGTAAATATTGTATATAACTTATAATGTGATGCTTTTTACTTGTCATCCATTCCTCTCAATCTCTACTCTATTCTCGCGAGACTTTCTAATAAAAGTGAATACAACTCACAGTCAATACTACGATATAATACACTTTCAAAGTAAGTCTAACTTTATATTTCACTAGTCTTTGAGTTTTTGTGTTAAAACATTTCACTGTTATATTTCAGACAATTGATGTATTGATAATGATATTGAGGATCTTTTCTACAAAAAGCCTAATATTGTATACAATTTATTAAATTTCAATTAAATTCTTTATTGTTTTATTTAAAAAATCAGTATTTTTATATCAATTTTTCAATTAATTCACTCAATTATATTATATAAACTTTAATAATTTCAAATACATCAAAAATCATATACTAGCTTTTATTTATTTATTTTTATAATAAAAATGTTTAAAATCTAATTTAATTTATTAACTTTTATATAATTTAATTTGCTGAATTTATATAATTTGTTTACAATAAATAATTTATTTAATTTTTTGTTTAATAATAACTATTTAATTAACAATTTATGTTTAGCTTAAATAAAATTAATAAATGATAATTTATTAACTATGATAGATATAGACCCTATCATTAATCAAACAAAATACTTGATACCAATCATAACATTGATTTTATTACAATTAACAACTTATAAAGATTTACTGATATCAATATAAGCAAAACAAATATACAACACATTGTAATCATTAATCATTATTTGTAATAAATTCATCAATCAGTCAGTCATACAATTTGCAAGCAATGCATTATTTATTTATAAATATAACTCAAATATTATTTACCTTTAGCTTATATTTTTGATAAATGACTTATTAGTGTTATTAAGGGTCACATGTCATTAGTAGTCCAATAAATTTCAATGTCAGTAAAATTTACTAAATATTTGTTTTAACTATTAAATTATAGTATGACATTACTTACAAATAATCATCAAATTAATAGTATGTAAATATAAAATATAATTTAATTAATTAACCAGATTTAAACATTAATTATGCAATAAATTTATAGATTGTTTGTAAATATAAAAATGTTGACAATTTAATAGTAATCAAACAATATATAAATTAATAATTAATGAAAATTTAATAAATAAAAATTAGCTTAAATTGTGAGAAATTTGGAATTTGTTAAAATGATAACAAATGAAAAATATTTAATTATATAAATATGATATGATATGAGTCGGTACTTGAAATATTTGCTTTTATCCCAAAGTATGGTTTTGGTTTGAATTTATTAAATTATTTATTGAATGCATTTATAGAAAATCTCTCAATAAATGAGATAAAATTCTATGAATTAAATTAGTTTGTGAGCCATTTGGAGACAAATTGCAGGGACTGGTAGTAGATATAACTCAATAGTGGATATGTAGGGGACAGCCATCAAAGTTTGTGCTCTCGAAGAATAGTTTGATTTAGATTTTTTGGTTATTATTTGCTGTCTTAGCTGAGCATTGGTTTGAATGAGAGTGGACGTGACATTTGATGGATTGCAATGACCTCTTAATTCACATGAAATTCAATTATATGCTTGTATTGAAACATTTGTTCAATAAAAACTTACTTTGTTTCCAATTTAGTGAACAAAACTAAATGGAGAATAGCTATAGGCTATAGTTATGGCTATCACTACTACGGCTAAAGCTTTGGTTAAAACAGTAAACACTTGACATCAGTAGCGGAGTTGCGGTACTGTTTAGAGCACTGGTAGAGTACAGTACAGTATAATATAATATATATACCAGTTATGTATGGATACATTGGACCCAAGGAATCACTTACCAGTATTTAAAGCAAAGTAAAGTCGAATGCATTTCAGTATTGTTTTAATTAAATGTGTAATACTTGGAGTGAGAAATGATTGATGAAAATGTAAAGACAGCTCTCACGCTGTGTTACTCCGAAACCATTGCTAACATCACACACATTGCTATACCATTACTGCCATCACTAACATCACTAATATCATAGGCCTTATGCTTTACATTTGCTTTTAGCTCAAAACCTGTCTCTTTTTGACACTTTATGAACAGTTTACTTATTAAAAATATGCATTTCTAGCCATTATTATTATTATTATTTATATCTTACTCTTTTAAATCTAATTCCTTGATTTTCAAATTATTAAATTAAATTTTATAATTTTTAACATTGTACTAGTGATTAAAATTTCCAAATATTACATATCTATTTTATTGTTGAATTACCATGGTTCTTTACAAGTTGTATGCACTACCTATATTTTTTAATTAAACAATTTGTTATAACAAGTTTATTTCTATAATCAAATTTCAAACAAAATATAATATTGTCAGTTAATTTATATGGTAGAAATGTAAATTACAGATTGATAATTTTTATTTTGAACATTTAATCTAAATTATATAATAGAATTATAAGATAAAAGAGATCAAAATATTATAAAAATTTAATTATCTTTTGAATTTTACATATATTTTAATTTTATAAATTATTAAAAAGAATTTAACTTCAGCAAATTTGTTACAAATAAAAACATTTTATTTTAAAAATGTGAGTTTGCATTATTGTGAATATTTATAGACAAATCTATAACCCGAAAATAAGTTATCACATATAATTGAAAAATAAAAATAATTGTTCAAATCTAATTTACAATCATATCAATCATAAAAAATTTACAATTATTTGCATCGAATTTAATTTTCTCATTAAATTATATAAATTATTTTATATTTTAAAAGTATTATTAGTTTTTATAAAGTTTAACTCAAAACTTTAAAAAGTCAAAATATGCATCTTTTGGTACTTTTTAGTCGATTATACTGTAAATATATTTATAAATTATAAAATAAAGCAAAACTACAAATTGCAAATAAAATGGCAATAATTTGCATTTTAATAAAAAGGATTATAATTTAAATGAATATCTTATGATTGTAGAGAAAATATGTTTGGATATTGATTTTGATGGATGTATGAAGTATTGTATAGATGTATAGTAAGGATGTATAGTAT